AGAACATCTATCCAGGACCTTCTGGCTTTCATGGTTTCCATAGAGAAGTCAGGTGTAAGTCTGATAGGTTTACCTTTATAAGTAACTTGGCCTTTTTCCTTTGCGGCTCTTAATATTCTTTCTTTATTCTGTATATTTTGTGTTTTGATTATTATATGGTGAGGGGATGTTTTCTTTTGATCCAGCCTATTTGGTGTTCTGTATGCTTCTTGAACCTTCATAGGTACATCTGTCTTCAGTTTGGGAAAGTTTTCTTCTATAATTTTATTAAGTATATTTTCTGTACCGTTGAGCTGCACTTCTTCTCCTTCTTCTACTCCAATTATTCTTAGGTTTGGTCTTTTTATTGTGTCCCATATTTCCTGAATGTTTTGTGATGAGAGTTTGTTGGACTTGCTGTTTTCTTTGATCAGAGTGTTTATTTTCTCTATGTTATCCTCAGAATCTGAGATTCTTTCTTCTATCTCTTGTATTCTGCTGGTTATACTTGATTCTGTAGTCTCTATTCGTTTACCTAGATTTTCCATGTCCAGCCGGCCCTCTGTGTTTTCTTCTTTGCCTCCATTTCAGTTTTCAAGTCATGAACTGTTTCCTTTATCTGCTTGATTGTTTTTCCTTGGTTTCCTAGGGTATCATTCACTGATTTACTCAATTCCTCGAACTTTCTATTATACTTCTCATCCATTTCCATAAGGGCGTTTTTTATATGCTGTTTAAGGGTGTCAATCACTTTCATGAAGTCAGTTTTTTCTACTTCTTCTTGATTAAGGTGTTCATGTCCTCCTGTTGTGGGGTCACTGGCTTCTGGTGGTTTCGTGTTGTTTTTCAGATTGTTGGGAGAATTCCTGCATTGGCGTCTGCCCATCTCTTCCTCCCAATACTCCCTTTTGGATCTTCTTTTACAGGATCAGGTCTTCTTGCCCACTGATGTACCTTCCCAGTGATGTCACTCCCCAGAGATGTTTCTCCACAATGATGTTTCACTCGGTGCCCAGATCGAAACTCCGTGCTGCTTGGTTAGCTTGCGAACAAAGGGCCCACCCCGCTCGCTGCGGGCAGGCTATGGGAACAAAGGAGCTACTGGCCACCCCTTTGTCCTCTCGGTTCGGTCCCGGCGTCCTAGCAGGCTGGGCAGGGAGGCGCTATGCCCCAAAGAAGGGAGAGAGGGAGGGAGACAGGGGGTGTGGGGATCTGGATGTAAGCTGAATGGGATAGAAATAGAGAGGCGGTTTGGGCAGTATAGCCCCTGTAGGATGGCCTGGAAGTGTGGGCGGGCTGAGGTATGTTCCCAGCTGCCGCAGCACTCACTCACCACAATGATGTTTCACTTGGTGCCCAGATCGAAACTCCGCGCCACCTGGTTAGCTCGCGAACAAAGGGCATCTACTGTTTTCTATAAGGAGTCAGATTCAAGTGCTTGTGAGCTGTCTGCTCCTAAAAAGCTGCCCCAGTTGGCCTTGGCTAATACTTTACAGCAGTTTCTTGGCTTCTTTTCTACTCAGGAACTCCTTCATCTCTTTCCAAACACCAGCTGCCTATAAACACTTTGTTGGGAGAAAGTAACCTCTTTGGAACAAGGGTTATCAATAGCTCCAGGATGGCCAAGTCACACCCAACTTATACCGAGTACGATATTGTCCATTGCTTGGGTCTTCAGTCACCATTTGGACTTTGCTTGGGTTATCTGTTGTACTGTTTAATATAATTCTTAGAAACTTGGGGCTACAGAGAAACCCTGTCTTGAAAAACCAAAAAACATAAAACAAAAACCTGAGCTTTTTCCAGCTAAATGCCTAAAACTTTTCCTAACAGGAATTCACAAGTGCTCTCCAGGAAGGCATAGCCTTGGGGATGAAGAGTCTCTTAGATTCTGGGCTGGAAAAAGCACAGGAACTCAAGCGAGACCTCTCCAGGCAGCGTGCACATGAGGAGGTCGCCGAGCGGATGAAGGCTAATGCTGTGGAACTGGTCAAGTCTCTTGGGAACACCTTTGCTGAATGGAGACTAAAAAACTTCAGAACTCAAGTACAAGAAGGTTCTAGGCAACAAGGTTCCAGGATGGTAACTCTCGCATCAGAGTTCTTGAAGTTAAAATGTTGCTTGGAGGAAACCGTTGAGATCATTACATCTGCACTGAGAGGGTGCCCCAATGACCTGCACTGTCTCAGAAACTGTACTGAAATGCTCTGCACCCTGGCTCCTAAGTTCCACAGTGATGTCATTGGGCCCTCTGCCTCTGCTGGCAGCTGTGGGAAACGAGAATCTCTAGCTAAATCACTCCTCTTCTGTTTTGATCGTGGAGAAAGACCTGGTTTGTTGAAACCTGAGGAATCTCGTAATCAGCAAAGCAAGGGAGAGCAGTGTGAGTCAGGCGGGGCTGACTGCAGCGCAGGCGTGCCAGCATGTGCTGGTGAACCCCACACGTGCCAGCATGTGCTGGTGAACCCCACAGAGACACGTCCCCGGCAGTGTCTTCACGGGCCTGCATCCCCAGTAGGATTCAATGACAGGCACCTGGTGACTGTCCATGACCAAAAAGGACACTTGGTGATGCTTTTCCTCACACAGGAGAACATGTGTGTGAATGTTTAGAGTTCATGTCTATGCGGAGTCTCATATCGGGTGATATTTTCTGTGATAATAACAGATGGAGTCCTGGTTTCAAATGCCTCAGTGTGGCTCAAAATTTCCTAAGCAGACGATTTTCAGACAAGGAGTTAACCATGTTGAAACATTGACAGCCAAATGAAATTCTCCCGAGTCGTAGCCTGACCCTTTCTCTTGTTTCACTTGAGGTCGCTGGGTGAAGCTGGCTTGAGTTCACCCGTCGGCTTTCTCTAGGGGAGAGACTGTAGAGCACCCTGGGGTGGTTGGCCGAGCAGTGATACCCATGCTTCTGGGGCTTTGAAGCGGTGCGGTGCAGTCACCGGGCCACCCTGAGCGGACTGCTCCTGTCTCAAGTGTGGCAACGCCGAGGCTTTGTTTCCATTTTCCTTTTGTTATTTTGGCGGCTTGTGAGGTTCACTGCAGATCAGTCTGTGTTCTGGCAATCAGCATTTCTGCTCCTGTTTGATACACTGAAGTACACAGAAGCATCTATCCTGAAGGTTGTGCTTCTTGAACTCACTGAATTAGATGGAGAATTCACCTTGCTGCACAGCAATTAGTCTTTAGTTTCTCTGTCCCTTCTCCCTCAGTTTTTTCTGTCTTTGAGACATGGTCCTGCTGGGTAGCCCAGTGCGGCCTTCACCTCCTGGGTGCTGGGGTCACGGTGCACCCCAAACCCAGCTAACGTCTATTTTCCAAACTCATGTCTGTCCTCAGAAATGTTTTGCGTATGCTTGTAAGCTTATTTATATTTATGCTGAATAATTTGGGATACTGTATTTAAGTGGATGCTGTTAGAATCATGTGCACTGAAAGTGTTATAAAGACAATGCCTTTAATAAATCTTGGGAGTTTCAGAATCAAAAAAGAAAAAAGAAACTTGGTATCCTCATCTCTTTCAAAGAAGCAACAGGTAATTTGTTCAACACTGCTTCTGGTGCTTTTTGACTATTCATAGAACTGCATAATTGGCAGCCTAGAGTCCTTCGAACCAAACTCTTGCCCTGGGCAGCATGGAATTGTTCACCTAAGCACTCCTTATTGAAAGAATTGTATTCTGCTGTGGGAGCTCCTTTTGCTCCTTCAGCCAATAGCCTTCAAGATACCAGCCCACTTGGGCATGGTCTCTTGCTCTAAAAAGCAGCAGTAGCTGTGTACTCTCTTGCTTCAGACTCCACTTCTGGCTAGTAGACTTTCTTCCTGGTCACACAGAGGGCTGTTGTCTAGGATGGTGATTTGTAAGTTTTTCCTTTAAATAAACAACCGTTTTATTAATCATAATTCCAAACTGGTGTGGGATTGTTTTGTGACTTATGCCTTCATCTGGAACCCAACTTTTGGTTTTAGAACCGCCCCCCCTCACTTGGCTGCCTGCCACCAGCTTGGTTTGGCATGAGCCCTTCCTCAGCCGCAGCCTGTGCATGGAGCCAGCAGTTCAATATAGAATCTCCCACACTGGCTTTTCTTGCTGCAATTATTTACATGCCTCGGATTGGCTTCAAGTCCTCACGCACCCTATCATTTGCCTTCTGATGTGGATTTAAACTCCTCGCCTCCTGGGCTCCATGGGCCTGGACAGTCTCTGCCCACCTGGTTTGATCTTCTCCTAAGCGGTTTTTAAATCCCCCCTGCAGTGCAGCACTTAAGCAATTCGAGTCAGCACAAGTGGTTGCTGAATGCTGCAAACTCTTTCACAGGGAGGCTTATGCAACTTCCCAGTTGCTGTTCTCTACCCCAGTTGTGACTCGGAAATAGTGCCGTCTGCTGGTCAACAGGTAAAATGGCAGGTTTCATTTCTAATGGGACTTTTGCCGCCATTTTGCTGCCATTATGGAAGAAATCACAAGAGGCCTATATGCCTATGGATGACATTTTGCTATTTGATTCAAACATAGATACTTTAGAAAGAATGTTTGAGGAAGTAAAGGTAGTTTTGCCTAAATGGGGATTACAAATTGCTCCTGAAAAGATTCAAAGAGGAGATTCTGTTAACTACCTAGGTTACAGAATAGGTTTACAGAAAATTAGAACACAAAAGGCATAAATTAGGAGAGACTGATTACAGACTATAATTGATTTTCAAGACTGTTAGGAGACATTTTCAGTCCATGATCAGCTGTTGGGATAATACCTGATCTAATAATTTATTTAAACAAAACCTTAGATGGTGACAAAGATTTCAATAGTCCTAGAGAATTAACAGCTGAAGCAGAAAAGGAACAGACAATGAATGAGGAAAAATTACAGGAGGCACAAGTGCATAGGGCGAATTCAAATCTTAGCTGTATTCTAGTCATATTGCCTTCCAGAATTTCTCCTATAGGAATTTTAATGCAGAGGGAAGATATTATTTTGGAATGGATCTCTTTATCAAACAAAGTAAAAACTTAAAAATTTATGTGGAAAATGTCTTGTGTATCATCCTTCCAGAAGGGCCATGCTAATCTCTCTGTATCATTCCAATTTTAGTATATGTGCTGCCTACATAGGCATGCACAACATTGCTTTATTGTTCATTCCAGATATAGTGAACTTGACAAGCAAAGATAGCCATCACACCAGGGGAACTTCAGGAATGGGTGACAATGGGAAACCAAATAATTCCTGATTGATCCTAAGAGCATCCTGACCCACCCTCAAAACAAAAGTGGTTCAGAAGAACAAACAGCAAAGTTATATCCATTGCAGGAATAACAGGGACATGAAACTTCTTGGAATGGACCAATCTGACCCCATAGGTTCATCATCTACTCCAGCGAGAGCGAGAGAGAGAGAGAGAGAGAGAGAGAGAGAGAGAGAGAGAGAGAGATTATAATCATGGATATAGCTCTGTCCACAGCTCACAAGCCCTGAACACTGAGGTATTCATCGTATGGCATCAAGTTCTTAGGCCTTTCTGGCATTTACTCTGAGATTATGGTAGATTGTGACTTAAATATGAAAGATTCTCTTTTGCAAGACACTAACAAAACTCAGAAATGAGATGGGGAAAGCACAAGGGAAAATGATGGGGCATGAATGAGTCAGGTGATGAGAGAGGGACAAAGAGTGCCTAACAGGCTGCAATTCTACTAGTCCTGCAATGGCTAGCTGTGAACAGAAAGTTCTAGATCCTAGTAGTTGCCTGGTCCAATATGACTGGATGTCTCAGCTGGCATTCTAGATAGACTGGATACCAAAAGAAGTAGGCTCCAAAATAGGTGAGTGAATGGATGTGCTAGCCATGCAAGGGCAAAAAAAGCAAACGATTTCCTCTTTTTTTTGTGCTTACATCCAGACTTCCCACAGAGGGTGTGACTAATATTAAAGACTTCCTGTCACAAGATTTTGATTAGAGGTGTACATCTTCCGCTTCAGTATCTGAAGCAAGGCCTGTGTCTTCCAACCTTCAGATCCAAAACAGGGAGTCTCCAAGCCTGGAACCACAGCAGGCCACTGCCTGGATTTACAGGCCTCTCACCAGTGTCCAAATCAGGATCATTAATTCTGAAAAAACAGTCACAATGGAAGACCAAGCCCCAACAACCATCCAGCAGTTTGCAGTAGAGTGCTTGCTCTATTGAAGGAGGCTTGGCCATTTCTGCTCTGAAGAACTTGCCCCAGGATGCTTCTCCCTGCCAATGTTGAGGTGGCCTTCCTGAACAGACATGCACATGTGCTGAGGGCCATGGTACCTGCGTGGCCCTTTCCACGTCTTCATGTTGATCACTGAGAAAGACTAGCCCACCTGGAGACCTTGAGGTTCTGCTTAATGAAGTAGATGTGCTTATTTCACATAAGGCTTGCCCCAGGGTGGGGAACATCAGAAAGCTGGGGTTCAGACCCACTCCATCACTTACTGCCCCCTCTCACAGACTTGATTACCTGCCCCAGTCCCTGAAATTTTCTGAGCTCAAACATCTATACCTGAGTTTGGCACCTTTGTGAGTGGCTTAAACCAATTGGATTGTTCCTTAAAGAATCAAAGACACATGCAAACTGGAACTGAAGGTCATGAATTTAGTATTTTCATGCCTGCCCTGAGCCAATGCTCCTTGCTCAAGGTCAGTTTCTAAATAATAAACTCTGTTTGTCCTGAAGCAACTTTCTTCACCACAAGAGCCAAACTGACCAGCTGATCCGGGAGATATACCCTGCCCTTCTGGAGTCTATGACGGGGGCCAAATACTTGTAGACAGATTGGACCAACTTTGTTTTTGACCTAAGTATATCGAGGAGCTCAGAACAAAGAACCAAGACAACCTGTTTTGTTACAATCTTCTACCTTAATAGTTTTCAGTCCTGGGTCTGTGACCTGGAGAACAGACTCTGCACAGGCTGGCAATAAACCAGGCAAGGTTGCTCCATGGTAAGGAGAATGGAAGCCTAGAGTGGAGGATGGATGAAATCCTCTGGGATTATTATTATTATTATTGCAGCTCGAGACTGCTCCCCAAAACGACAGCACATTTATTATGTGCTATGAACAGAAAGGAGGCAGTGTTTCTGGGTGTGTTGGAGGGGGGAATCAAGGCAAAGACATGTACCTTCCCATCTCTATGCTCTGGACTAGAACTGGATTCCAGATACAGTGAACTTGACAAGCAAATAGCCTTCCCACCAGGGGAGCCCCAGGAATGGGTGACAATGGGAAACCGCATAATTCCTGATGGATGCTCGAGAGCTGCCTGATCCACCCTCAAAGATAAAGTGCTTCAGATGAACAAACATCAACGTTATATCCATTGCAGGAATAAACGGGACATGGAACTTCTTGGAATGGACCAATCTGACCCCATAGGACCATCTACTCCAGCTTTGCTTTAGAAAGCGAGAAAGGAAGAGAAAGCAAGAAAGCAAGAAAAAGCTCATAATCTTGAATATAGCTTTGTCTACAGCTCACAAGTCCTAAACAACGAAATATTCATCCTGAGGCACCAAGTTCTTAGACCTTTCTTGCGTTTACCTGTAGGTTATAGTAGATTGTGACTTAAACTTGAAAGAGTCTCTTTTCCAAGACACTATCAAAACTCAGTTACTCTTGAGTGACAGAAGTGAGAAACAAACTCCACTTTTCAATATTGTTGGATTGCATTACTGCAGTGTTTAAGAAAGAAATCTCTGGTAGATATTAGCCAGGGGCCAGAGAAGCAGGCTTACTGTTTGAAGGCATGTTGCCTGTTGAAGTTTATTATAGCAGGCCTCAATTAACAGAAAGCGTGGATATAACACCATTTTGGTGATAAACTCCCTGCTACATGTTACCCAAAGTGCCACTTCATAAGACCCAAATTTGTATGAAATTTGTCTAACATTTTGATTAAAGTGAGGAAAAGAGGTTAGAATCTCCAGCAGTTGCTTTTCTATCATTGTTTTAAAACACCACACCCATAGCAGCTTATAGGAAGGGTCTTTGTGGGGCTCAAGGTTCCAGAAGGTTGAGTGACCATGATGGCTGAGCTACATCATGTGGCAGAAATAGCTATGAACGCACATCTTAAAGCAAGCAGGAGGTATAGAGCACACTCAAGATGGTGCCAACTTACTTTTTGTTTGTTTTCTGTTTCTTTGGGTTTTTTTTTTTCTTTTGCAACCTCAAAGCCCATCCCCAGTGACACACTTTCCCCAGTAATGCCAGACCTTCCTTGTAAGACCCATGGGTCTATCCCTGCCTCTGGGTTTTATCTTCAGGACAGTTTTTGTCAGCCAGCTAAATACCTTGTTTGTTCCTATGCTCCCTCTGCCCCAATGGTGGTTAGCTATAGGGCCATTGTTTACTCCACCTTGGGCATGGTAATTTCCCACCTGCCTGGGGGTAGTCCACTGTGCAGCAGCTAAGTATTTAAGGTTTTTCCTAAGTTGGAATAAACGACATTCAGATGATCTCCTTTAGAATGACCAAGGTCTCGTGAGTGTTCTTTCAATCTTTAGTCCCTTGCCCCTGCTCGCAAATGGCACAGTGGTACATGAACTGGGCCGAGAGTAATGCAGGCCTTACAGTTGGAGACCCAGAGAGATCAGATGTGGCACTTCCTAATCCTTCCCAAATGGGCCACCAACTGGGGATCAAATATTTGAATGCCAAGACGTATTGTAAGGTGGGGGGGGGGGATGTCTCAAACTACAATACCCAGTCTAAATTAGTGTCAAATCTAAAGGTCCTCTTAAATTCAAAACCATATCTTGGTATCTAGGTATAGCTGGGGCTCTGAACTTTTGTACATCTCTCCTGATATGTTTTTTCTGAGTTCAAACAAACCAGCTCCTACTGTTGAGAACAAAAGGGTCAGCAGTGAGTGCTTGTCCTTGAGGTTACCTAGATCCTAGAACCCCTCAATGGGAAGATCTAGGAGATATGGATGCTCTTTTATGGACTTGGAGTTTACTTAAGCTACAGCCTTTTGCTAAACAATTGAGACAAGCGATGGCCAGCAAGTAATCACAGCCCCCATGTCATCCAAGAGAAAAAAATCTTTGCACTATGATAAGCAGTTAAGTGCTCTTACATCACCAAGAACGAACAGGATAAGATACCGACAGCCTTTTAAGTGTGTTATAGCAGAAACAAGCATTTGTGCCTCCCACAAACCAGAGTTTGAGTAACAAATTCACAAGGTTTTAAACAAGATCCAATATCAAATTCTTCTCTAGGACTCAGGGAAAGACATAGCTATGAGTCAATATAAAAAAAATCATGAGGTTCATATATTGATTCTTCTAAGGTACAATAGCAGAGAACAAACATGGCTCCCAAAGGAGAGGAAGGACAGTGACTAAAAGATCAGACTAAGTCAAGACTGAAACCCATGAGGGTAATTCTATTCCTATAGTTCATATCCACCAGGTAGGGCACATGGTAAGCATGTTGTAAGCGTCAAAAGGTTTGGGAAGCCCATTCTTGTGGACTTTTTGGTAGGAGCCAACACTATGACTTCTGTTTGCCGGCTCTGCTCATTGTAGCTTCCCTTGTCAGGAGGAATTCCACATTCCTAGTATCTCCAATGACCTTCACTGCCACGACTTTGCACGTGGTCTGGTAGGAAGATCTCTGAAGGACTCAGCCCTGATGAGCACTTCCTTGGCCTCGAAGACCTTTCTTTGAAATCTGGGTAATTCTACTAGTCCTGCAATGGCTAGCTGTGAACAGAAAGTTCTAGATCCTAGTAGTTGCCCAGTCCAATATGACTGGATGTCTCAGCTGGCTTTCTAGATAGGTTGGATACCCAAAGAAGTAGGCTCCAACATATGTGAGGAAATGGATGTGCTAGCCATGCAAGGGCAAGCAAACAAAGTAAAAGATCTCCTCCTGTTTTTGCTTACATCCAGACTTCCAACAGAGACTGTGACCCATATTAAAGGTATGACTGCCTGTCTCAAGATTTTGATTAGGAATCACTAACAAGAGCTTTATAAGGAGCCAGCTGTCCAGAGAGTCTCTGACCTGCAGAGGCCAGGAAAGTGAGCAGAGGTCTTCCTCCACACTCTAGACTCTGAGAGCCCAACAGCACCCTGAGAAGC